TCCCAGTGTCCATCCGTCCATGCACTCCTGCCCCCTGAGCTGTCTCCCTGTGCATAAGCAGCCCTTCTTTCTCCCATGATTGTTCTCTCCAGGGAGTGTATCTACCTGAGGTAAGTGTTCAACTCATATGCCTGTCTTTTGTTTGGCTGGAAACCATGGGTGTGGGTTCAATTCCAGACCTGCAGGGCAGCTAGGGGCCATAGTCTCAGTGGTTCCACCAGGCTCTATCAGACCAGCAAACCTGCTCAGGTCATTCTGCTGGAGTTTCTGGTCAGTTCCATTTTACATGGTCTCAACTGGGTACACACCAGAGATGGTGTGTCTGGGTTACACTGACGCGGTACCTGCTGATAAGTGGGGGAATCAAGGGCCCCAAGTTTGTTTGGCTTAAACCAGTTCCTTTCTCCTACCAGGGCACTTTTAGGGACTCTCCAAGGCACGTTCACCCTCCAAGGTTCACAGGACAGAATGATCTGAGGAGCATTTTGCAAAGCAACATTTTTTCCCCAGTTTACCAAATTTGCTGATTTAACAAGACTTATTTAAGAATAATTCCTCTTGAGATAATCTTGTGTAAGAGTATACTGAAAGCAATCAGACATTAGGACGAGATTCTGGCCTAGTATGGTTGAAAGTTGGGGGGGGGGTGATGTGGTGCCATGTATGACTATTCTAGACCAATAGACATTAAAAGATAATAATCTAATCAATATGAGAAGCTTTATTCAATACTGGTTTGAAAAAAGCCACCTGTAGTAGGGAGATGTATGGGGAAATTTTAATATGGACTGTATATTAGGTTGATATTAAGATATTATTGTCAGTTTTCAAGAGTGATAATGATATAATGGTTACTTAGGACAGTGTCCTGGTTTATGATGATTCTGAAATATTAACTGGTGAAGCATTGTGATATCTGCAACTTTCAAATGATTAAGAAAAAAAATTATATAGTCATTAATTATATCTATACCCATATAGCGTTGCCATAAATCAGAATCAGGCTCTACCATAACTAACAACAGCAAATACACAGCCAGTTCTACTATAATACTTGTTTTGAAAACATTATTGTTTCAGAGAGATTGAAATATCAGGCCCCATTTGAATGAACATTACATGAATTACACGTTTGCTTATGCACAATTTCATTGTGAGTCACACTAAAAAAAATAAAATAATAAAAAATAACCCACCAAACTCACTGCTGTCAAGTGGATTCTGACTCATAGTGTCCCCCTCCATTGGGTTTCCAATGCAGTAAATCTTTAGGGGAGTAGATTGCTTCATCTTCCTTCCATAGAGCAGCTAATGGGTTTGAACCTCCAACTTTCTGGTTAGCAAATACCTTGGGCACTGCTTCACCAGAGCTCCTTGCAAGACACACTAGCCAAAACCAAACCAAACAAAACCCACTGCCATCGAGTCATTTCCAACTCATAGTGACCCCCTGGGGGTGTCTGAGGTGTTAAATCTTTACCGAAGTAGATTGCCCAGTCTTCCTTCCACAGAGTGGCTGGTGGGTTTAGAACTGCCAACCTTCTGGTTAGCAGTCAAATACCTTAGGCACTATACCACCAGAGCTCCTTTGAAAGACACACTGTTGTTGTCATTGTTAGGTGCCGTTGAGTCACCTCCAATTCATAGTGACCCTATGCACAGGAGAATGAAGCACTGCCTGGTCCTGAGCCAGCCCCATGATTCTTGCTATACTTGAGCCCATGGTCTCCCCCTCTTTCATCGACCCTCCACCTTACCAAGCATGACATCCTTCTCCAGGGAATCGTCCCTTCTGACAACATGGCCAATGTATGTGAGATGAAGTTTGGCCACTTTCACCTCCAGGGAGCATTCTGGCTGCACTTCCTCCAGGACAGACCTGTTAGTTCTTTTAGCAGTCCACAGTACTTTCAGCATTCTTCACCAACACCACAGCTCAGAAGCTTCAATTCTTCTTCAGTCTTCCTTATTCATTGTCCAGCTCTCACACGCATATGAGGCGATTGAAAATACCATGGCTTGTGTCAGGCGCACCTTAGTCCTTAAGGAGGCATCTTTGCTCTTCAGCACTAGAAAGAGGGCCTTTGCAGCTGATTTGCCCAGTGCTATATGTTGTCTGATGTCCTGACTGCTGCTTTCATTGGTGTTGATTGTAGAACCAAGTAATGTGAAGTCTTTGACAACTTCAATGTTTTCTCCATTTATCATGATGTTGCTTATAGGTCCAGTTGTGAAGATTTTTGTTTTCTTTATATTGAGATGTAATCCGTACTGCAGACTGTATTCTTCAATCTTTATCAGTAAGTACTTCAAGTCATCCTCACTTTCAGCAAGCAAAGTTGTGTTGTCAGCATATCTCAGCATATCTCAGTTGTTAATGATTCTTCCTCCAATTCTGATGCCACGTTCTTCTCCATATAGTCCAGCTTCTTGGATTATTTGCTCAGCATACAGATTGAATAAGTATGGTGAAAGGATACAACCCTGACACACTCCCTTCCTGATTTTAAACCATGTAGTGTCCCCTTGTTCTGTTCCAACGACAGTCTCCTGGTCTATGTACAAGTTCCTCATGAGCACAATTAAGTGTTCGGGAATTCCCATTCTTCTCAATGTTATCCAGAATTTGTTATGATCCACACAATCAAATGCTTTTGCATGTCAATAAATGACAGGTAAACATCTTCCTGGTATACTTTGCTTTGAGCCAAGATCCATCTGACATCAGCAATGATATCACTTGTTCCACGTCCTCTTCTGAATTCAGCTTGCATTTCAGGAAGTTCTCTGTCAATATACTGCTGCAACCACTTTTGAATTATATTCAGTAAGATTTTACTTGCATGTGATATTAATGACATTGTTTGATAATTTCCACATTGTGTGGGATCACCTTTCTTTGGAATGGGTACAAATAAGGATCTCTTCCAGTTGACCAGGTAGCTGTCTTCCAAATCTCTTGGCATAACTGAGTGAGTGCCTCTAGTGGGGCATCCGTTTGTTGAAACATCTCAATGAGTATTCCGTCAATTCCTGGAGCCTTGTTTTACACAAATTCTTTCAGTGCAGCTGCGACTTCTTCCTTCAATACCATTGGTTCTTGAACAGATGAATGATCTTCATCCATTTCAGGAGGTGGCATATGTTCAAGAACCAATGGTATTGAAGGAAGAAATTGAAGCTGCAAGACACACCAGAGAACACTAAATGAAGGCAGAAAACTGCCCAGCCAGCTCTGAGCAGGTACCTTCCTCTTATTCTACCTACATCCTCCAATCTGCTCATTATAAGCCACTCCTACCCACATCCGGGTTCTGACATGCTCACACTTTCAGTTCATTGTTCAGCTTGGCCACAAGGACTCCCCAGCTGCTTCCATTTAGCATGTGTAAAGCTGTACTACAATTTTTCTATCTTTTTTGGTGTCTCTGAGGATGTTTTTGAGTGTTGTGTCCCCAAGCCCATTTTCCTCTTAAATACTGTGTTTTTTACTGCACTGTTTTACATACATAGTGATTTTTAGTTGCACATATGTCACGTTATAGCAGAGCTGACTAGGTTAAAGAAGGAAATAAAGAGAAAATGTCAACAACTGTGATCAGAGAGATATACTATTCTTTCAACTTTTCTGTTGTTTTGACAATTATAATAAAATGTGGGGGAAGAGGACAAACACATACCAGATAGCCATGAAATATTGCCATTGCCCCTAGATTTTGACAACTGAACATTCCTTAGAATGCTGCTAAAATGACTATATTCATTGGATATGGTAAGGCAGATCACAAGGAACATGTTCATAAAGATACTAACAATAAGAAAAAAGTCCTATCCATTAATCTATTCAAGAATATTCCTTCAAACAAGCTATTGTTAAACTGGTTAACTAGGTAAACTGGGAACAGATCCTATACTGAGTTGGCTTCTAGCAAACTGGCCATAGTCTCAGTAACTGACTGCTTTCCACACTTCCAGGGGCTGAGGAAGGAGCCCTAGTTGTGCAGCAGTTAAGGGTTTGGCTGCTAACTGAAACGTTGGGATTTGAATCCACCAGCTACTCCATGAGAGAATGACAAGGTAGTCAGCTTTTGTAAAGATTTACAGCTTTGGAAACCCTATGGGGCAGTTCTGCTCTGTCCTGTAGGGCTGCTCTGAGTTGGAATTGACTCAATTGTACACCACCACCAACAGGGATGGGGGATGAGTTGAAGGCAGGGCTCCCTGTAGGTTTCAGATGCAAGTTAAGACGTTGAGTGCTGGGGTTGGGGCTGGTGCCTGTCAGATCCATCAGGAATCACCTTGGGCTGCCCTGAGAGATGGGCCCCTCTGTCCCTCCTCCTGCCTCCTTTGGTTAGAGCCCAACAGTAATGGCAGGAAGCATCTTTAGCCAGGCAGATTCCTACCTGTGGAGCTAGAGAAGGGGGTCGGCATCACTACAGAAACTGTGTTCACCATAGAATTTGGGGAGAAAAACCCCAGAGTTCTTGGGGTGGGGGCCTCATCATCTTGGAGGTGCCAGTAAGGGGTTGCCCATGTCTAGGGCTTTTTTGGACATAGGTCCCTGCTCAATGGAGCTGAAGGTGGGATGGGGTGGGGAGTGGAGACAGTGTTCTCATGGCCTCTTCCGTTCCCAAGGACTGGGCTTGGAGCAGGTGGCTCACAGGGGTTATTGACATTTCTGAAACCTCAAAATACTCACTGCTGGGGGTGGTGGCCAAGGTCTGGTGGGTGTAACCTGCAGAGGAAGAGGGAGAAAGGATAAGGAAGGTGAGAGAGAAGGGAAAGGGAGGGATGGGGAGGGAGGATGTAGGGTCTGTTGGCCATCAAAAAAAGATGGCATCCCCTCACCATTAACATAGAGACTGCCCTTGTCCAGTGTGTAGGGGTCCAGCCGGGTGGCCCCATGGGTCAGCTTGCTCAGTTCCCAGTAAAGCTGCTCTCTGTCCAGTCTGCGGCCCTCAGGGTCAGGATGGTGGGTACAGATGACATCCACTCTGGTGGCTGTGCCATCCTTCTTAGGCCTAGGGAGGGAGGATGAGGAGATGACAACAAATGAAGTTCCTCCACAAGGGATCCTGAGATCCTGGGGGCAGGACAGGAAGGCGTCAGAGGAAATTAAAACCCTGGTAGAGAGGTGAGAAACTAGATTTAGATTCTCTTGAGGGCACCAATTGCCAATCAGCTGGGGACTGTGAGCAAGGTCATGGGTGTGAAATTTTTATTAAACTGAAAGGCTGAAACCTGCATGCCCATGGCAAGAAGACAGGAGATTTCACACATGAGACAGGGATGAGCTGGGATTTGGGATTAAAGCAATTGCACCTTGTCTGGAAGGAATCCCTGAAGACAGAATTTGACACTGGAAGGAAATGCCCTCCTTGGTTGGAAACGGAAGACGGAGTTCAGAGGGTGACCAGGAGGGGCCAGTTCTGCTGATGGGCTGTGTGGAACCTGAGCACTCTGGGAGAAGGACCAGGAGAGGCCTTGGTCCTGGAACCAGTGCCTCCTGAATTCCACCTCTACTGAGACACTGTATCACACAGGGCAGGAAGAAGGAGCCCTTAGGGCATTCCTGGCTGGCCATTCTATTGGGAGGTCTCACCTGAGGGAAGTCAGTCTGCAGCCAGAATAGAGGGAGCCGATACTTGTGTTCTTGAACAAGGGCCCAAGCTGGTGAAGAGGGAGAGGGAGGTAAGTAGTTGGAGTGAGGGGCAGAGGTGAGGCAGGAGTCAGATAGGTGGGCATTTGTATATTGAGGGGTACCAGCATCAGTGCACATGACAGGGTTGAGGTGGTGGGGCTATCATCAGTTGGCCAGAATGGCGTCAGAGACAGACATTTACTTGTAGGAGACTAGCATCAGGGCATATAGGCAGGGTGGAGGTGGGCGGGCTAGCATCAGTGGGGATAAAAAAAAACAAAACAACAAAAAACCCTCAATGCTGTTGAGTCAGATCTGACTCATAGAGACCCCTCCTTGTGTTTCTGAGGTGGTGTCACTACAGAAGTAGATTGCCCAATCTTCCATCCCAGGGGTGGCTGGTGGGTTTGAACTGCCAGCCTTCTGGTTAGCAGTCAAATGCCTTAGGCACTGCACCACCAGAGTTCCCATCTCAGTGGGAATGCATAACCCCTATTAGTGGGAATAGGGTGTATGGGTGGGGATGGAGCAAGGTGGGCAGGGATGGAGCGAGGTGGATGGGGCTCTCACCAGCCTCTGTAGTACGATCTCTGTGGTGTTGTACTTCAAGGAGCCAGGTTGCTGCATGCCTTCCTTGTAGTGGAGGTTGGTGATGGTAAAGTTGAGGGTAAAGGGCACCAGGGCAGGGCCAGTGGCTGCAGTGAGAGCAGAGGAGAGACACCCAGTGAGCTTGCTTACCTCATGTTCAGGGAGCCTGAGCCTCACGCATCCCACATGTGTGTCTTCAAGCCTTGAGGAGGCACTTTCTCCAGAATGGGGAGATTCAGCAGGGTGGAGACAGCCTAGACACCATAATTAACTGAGGGATACTGGGGACACATATGCAGAATTGTACTATAGGAGACAACAGATCATCAAGCAGAAAGCAAACATTCAGTTGAGACTCCAGATAGTCATCCTCCTTGCCTGAGTTTTTTACCCAAATTGTTATTGGATATCTACAGTACATATTGATTAATTTATTTTTGTTTGTTTTGTTTAAAGAAATAAAGAAATACTTGCACTGCATTTTTATACCAGACCTTGTTCTAAGTATTTGACTAGAATCTCAACTTACTTAAACCTTGAGACAAACCCTTTGGATTGTTGTTGTTGTTAAGTGCTGTTGAGTTGTCTCTGACTCATAGTGACCCTATGCGCAGCAGAACGAAACATCGCCCGGTCCTGTGCCAGCCTCACAAGCCTTGCTAAATCTGAGCCCATCGTTGGAGCCACTGAGCCTGTCCATCTCATTGAGGGCCTTCCCCTTCTTCACTGACCGTCCACTTTACCAAACATGACATTCTTCTCCAGGGAATGGTTCCTTCTGACAACAAGACAAAGTAGGTGAGACAAAGTCTGGCCATTCTCACTTCCAAGGAGCATTCTGGCTGCCCTTCCTCCGGGACAGATTTGTTAGTCATTTTAGCAGTCTATAGTACTCTCAGCATTCTTCTCCAACACCACAACTCAAAAGCATGAACTCTTCTTCGGTCTTCCTTATTCATTGTCCAGCTCTCACATGAATAAGAGGCAATTGAAAATACCATGGCTTGGGTTAGGTGCACCTTAGTCTTCAAGGAGACTTCTTTGCTCTTCAGCACTTGAAAGAGGTCTTTTGCAGCAGATTTGACCAATGCAATACATCTCTGATGTCTTGACTGCTGCTTCCATTGGTGTTGATTGTAGAGCCAAGTAATATGAAATCCTTGACAATGTCAATCTTTTCTCCATCCACTGTGAAGCTCTTTATCGGACTGTTGTTGTTGTTGTTGTTGTTTGCCGTCGAGTCGGCCCTGACTCATAGCGACCCCTCCTTGGGTTTCCGAGGCAGTATCACTACGGAAGTAGGATTGCCCAACCTTCCTTCCGAGGAGTGGCTGGTGGGTTTGAACCGCCAGCCTTCTGGGTAGCAGTCAAGTGCCTTAGCCACTATGCTACCAGAGCTCTTTATCGGACTAGTTGTGAGGATTTTTGTTTTCTTTATATTGAGGTGTAATCCATACCGCAGACTGTAGTCTTTAATCTTCATCAGTAAGTGCTTCAAGTCATCCTCACCCTTGGATTGGAGGGAGTATTATTATTTCCAGGAGCTCTGGTGGCATAGTGCCTAAGGCATTTGACTGCTAACCAGAAGGCTGGCGGCTCAAACCTACCATCCACTCCTCAGAAGGAAGATTGGGCAATCTACTTCCATAAAGATACCTCCTCAAAAACTGAAGGAGGGGTCGCTATGAGTTGGATATGACTCGATGGCAGTGAGTAGTTATTTCAGTTTATTATTATCTCCATTTTACAGATGTGGAAAGTAGACAGAGCTTCAACAACTTGCTCCACATCATACAATCCCTAAGTGGCAGGCTCGGGTTGGAACTCAGGCCTTGTGGGCCCAGAGTCTGTGCTCCTAACCGTTTCACCTAGGACCATGGGCAGGTCCACCTTACACTGACCGTGTGCTCTTGTCTGAGTCCTCAGAATGTCCTAGGAGGTCCTATCTAATAAGTAACTGAAGACTTGCGTAAGGCTGGTGATGATGGTGGCTCATGCAGGACCCTCAGTGGGACCAGTGTGTGGTACTGTAATTGACTTTGAACCAATGGGAGTCCAGAAAGGGAACTGGCCTCAACCCAACCTAAGCCTACCCAAGTCACTGACTGCGACTTGAAAGAGGGCATTTCCTGAGTGCATATGTAGCTCACACTAAGCATCAAAGAGAGGCCCCTCCACACACTGCAGTGCCCCCAGAGTTGTTCTTTGTCCTGGCACAGTTATTCTCATCTTTCCTTACCATGAGCTCACCAAAGGCTAGGGCCCTTGGCCTTCTGTTTACTGCTGCCATTGTAGTTGTTGTTAGCTACTGTCGAGTCAGCCCTGACTCATGGTTACTTCATGCACAACAGAATGAAATGCTGCCCTGGCCCGTGCCTTCCCCATGATCACTAGTGCATGGGACCCTTGTTAACCATGGAGTTTTTATGGTCTGAGTTTTGGAAGTTGATGGCTAGGCCTTTCTTCCTGGTCCATCTTAGTCTGGAAGCTCTGCTGAAACCTGTTCAACCTCCTAGCAACATATAAACCACCACTGATAGATGGGGTGGTGGCTGTATAAGAGATGTCTTGGCCAGGAATAGAATCCAAGTGTCTTGTATGGAAGATGTTTTGGTTCTCTAGGCTGCTCTAAAAGAAAATACTGCAAGTGGATGGATTTAACAAACAGGAGGCTAGAAGCCCGAGTTCAAAGGTCCCAGCTCTAGGGGCTGGGTGAAGGCCCTTTGACATTAGGCTTCAGCTCTACCTCTTGCTCCTGGGCCACTGGAGTTGGAGGCTTTTCTTAGAGAGCTGCTGACTGCTGAGGCTGACAAACCCAAGGTCGACAAATAAAATGGCACAGTCCCAACATTATCAAGCAACATGGTAGGCCACTGGTTCAAGTCCAGAAACAGTCCCAAGACTGGCAGACAACATGGCAGGCCACTCACTGATGACTCAGCCAAATGCAGGATCCAAATGTGCCAAGAAATGCAGAGATCTTTCTCAAAGCTGTTGCTTATATACTGGAAGCAGACCACATCCCTAAGGAAGCTACTCAGCTGCTCTAGTAGATTTCACCACGGAGTTGATTATCAGTCTCATATGGGGAATAACTACATCCAGCTGCCCAGCCACTCAAAATCAAGCCCAGCCAATTGACACATAACTTAAACTGCCACAGATGGTGAGAATTCCACTGAGCCACCCCTGCCTCACTGCTGCATGATGAGGGCATTTACACAGTGAGTGCTTATGAATACTTGTTGCATGAATAAGTGAAGGGTCCTGGCTCCCCACGTGATGCCTCCCAGTGGTCACATGCATGACACCTTTGCAGAGAAGAATTACAGAGGTGTAGCCCCTTACCTGTGGGGATGGGGACCAGGGCTGCAGAGGTGCTTGGGGAAATGGTAGAAACCACAACAGCTGAGAAAAAAACACAGATTAATTAGGGGGGAGGTGCCCCACCAGCCAAGGACAGGCCTGTCATAGGACCTTATATCCCTTTTCCTGTTCCACTCAGGCCTGTGCTGGGCTTGCCGGTGCTGAGCCATTGGAGTGGAAAAAGGGTGATCCTGGCCATTTCCCTCCCTGAGGGATCTGGGAGAGTAGCACCACCAGGGCCCAGTTACTCACCGCTGAGGGTGGAAGTCAGAACCTGATGGGTGTAACCTGCAGAGAGAGGAGTGAAGGGGTATAAGGAAGGGAAGAAGTGGCAGGAATCTGGGGCACATCGGGTTTCTATGAAGCTCCTCCTTTAAGTAATATTTACAGTGTTCTCAAAGTGCAGACCTTGTCAGCAAATGCCAGGGAATGGAACTGGAGCTCAAGGAAGAATTTCCACATTAGGTTGTCTGTGGCTCACCCTTCTGCCACTTACCCCCACCCCCACCCCCATTTCTCTGACTTTCCAATCCCACTTTTTTTTTTTTTTTTTTTCAGTTTCTGTCGAGTCAACTCCAACTCACAGTGACCCCGTGTGCATCAGAGTAGAACTGGGCTCCGCAGGGTTTTCAGTGGCTGAATTTTTGGAAGTAGGTAACCAGACCTTTCTTCTGAGGCACTTCTGGGTAGCCTCAAATAGCTAGTCTTTTGATCAGCAGCTGAGTGTTAAGTGCACCATCCAGAGCCCAGAAATGTACACTTCCTCATGAGGGCAGGAGGCAAAGGTGCAGGCCAGTCTGGGACTAGCTTAAATCTGCCCTCCACTGAGAAGGCCTGGAGACCCAGGATGTCTGTATGAGCCGAGAGTGCACAGGCTGCAATGAGACCCACAGGGAAGCGGGAGTCATTGGCTGCAGCATGACTGCTCACCGTTGACAAAAAGGCTGTCCCTATCCAGGGTGTAGAAGCCCAGCCGAGTGACGCCGTGGGTCCCATGGCTCAGCTCCCAGTACAGCCGCTCTCTGTCCAGCTCAGTGCTTGTTGGACCAGAGTGGTAGGTGCAGATGGCATCCACTCTGGTGGCTGTTCCATCCTTCTTGGGCCTGGAGAGGGAGGACATATGCAGGACTGATGATGAGGGTCCATTGCAAGAATGACAATGTCTGAGACAAGCCACCAAGCCGGAATAACATTCCTTAGAGGGTGAAATGATTCTGGAACTTTAGCCACTGGTATTTCAAATACCAGTGGGTTGCCATGGTGGACAGTTTCACTGGTGCTTTCAGATTATTAAAATAGACTAGGGAGAAAGACCTGGTAATCTAATTTCAAAAATTAACCAATGAAAACCTTAATAGATTACAACACAACCTAGTTTGACTTGCTTGCTTGGGAATATCATCAGGAAGGATTAATGGCTCAAGGAGGGCATCATGATCGGTGAAGCAGAGGACCAGACAGGGTGAGGGAGCCCTTCAGTGAGATGGATTAGCACAGTAACACAATGATGGACTTGAACATGCGATCATTAGGATGACACAGAACTGGGCACGGTTTCGTTCTGTTGTATATAATGTTTCCTTGAGTCAGAGTTGACTCATGGCAGCTAACAACAAGAACAACACAGAAAGTGGGGCGGGGCGGGGGAAGCAATGGAGACCAAAAAAATCTAGAATTTATACATGATCAATAGATGAAGGAGGTGAATTGGGACTACAGTTGGCACATTGTTTATTTATTA